CCCCAAAACCCCAAAACCCCAAAACCCCAAAACCCCAAAACCCCTTATTTAATATTCTAGCTGAATTATAAGAATTAATTAGCCCAAAATCTTATTACCTTTAAATATGTTAAATCTCACTAAATTTGGCTCGAGAGCTACACCTATTGGGTTTAAAGTAGTGTTTGGCACTCCAACAAGAAGTTTTGCCACCTTCAGAGGATCTATGGAGAACTTGGGGATGGCTGAAAGAGACCCAGAAATGCATGCATTGCTTCAAGAAGAGGTTAAGAGGCAGAATGATGGAATCATTCTCATTGCTTCAGAAAATTTTACCTCCAAAGCGGTTATGCAAGCTGTGGGATCCCACTTGCTTAATAAATACAGTGAGGGATACCCAGGCGTAAGGTACTATGGTGGTTGTAGGGTCATTGATAAGATAGAGACCCTATGACAACAGAGAGCTCTTAAAGCTTATGGAGCTGATCCTGAAAAATGGAATGTTAATGTACAAGCATTGTCAGGTGCTCCAGCTAATTTTGCAGTCTATACAGGACTTGTTCCTCCAGGTGGTAGGTTAATGGGTCTTGATCTTACATGTGGTGGTCATTTATCTCATGGATTTCAGACACCAACAAGAAAAGTGTCCGCAACTAGCATGTTTTGGGATACTCGGTCATACAGGTTAAATAAAGATGGTTTTATTGATTATGATAGTGCATACGAATTAGCCCAAGAATTTAAACCAGATATGCTTATTTGTGGATACTCAGCTTATCCAAGAGACCTTGATTACAAAAGATTTAGAGAGATTGCAGATAGTGTTGGGGCTCTTCTTCTGGCAGATGTTGCACATTTTTCAGGGCTGTTAGTGTCAGGTCTTATGAATTCTCCCCTCGAATACGCAGATATCATGACTTCTACAACTCATAAATCTCTCAGAGGTCCAAGAGGAGGCTTAATTTTTAGCAGAAAGGAATTCTCTGATGCCATTGATGATGCTGTGTTCCCTAAAATGCAAGGAGGCCCACACAATCAAACAATTGGAGGTATTAGTGTTGCTCTTCATGAAGCAATGCAACCAGAATTCAAAGAATACTCTAAGCAAGTACTCAAAAATTCAAAGAAATTAGCAGATTCTTTGATGAAAAGAGGTCATACACTTGTCACCAATGGTACTGATAATCATATTATCCTTTGGAACCTTCGTCCGCATGGTTTGACTGGTTCAAAATATGAATCAATTTCAAATCACACTAACGTAACTCTAAACAAGAACACTATCTCAGGTGACAAGTCAGCATTGACTCCACACGGAATTCGTTTGGGAACTCCAGCATGCACAACCCGTGGCTACACTGAAGACCATATTGAAGATGTTGCAGAATTTCTTGATAGAATTTGAAAAGAAGCCCTCAAAATTCAGAAAGAAAGGGGCAAGAAGCTAGCTGCTTTTAACCAAGGAGTAGAAGAGAGCGACGAGGTTAAGAAAATATCCCTAGAAGTTTCGGAATTTGCACAGCAATTTGAACTTCCAGGGATATAGCCAATAATATTTAATGGTGAACTTGAAATATTCCATTTTCAACAAAGTTCGGTTGAACCGGGGTTTTGGGGTTTTGGGGTTTTGGGGTTTTGGGGTTTTGGGGTTTTGGGG